CCTAAACATTTAATTGGGCGGCCAATTAAATTGTAAGGATTTGAAGGATTTTAGAAACTTTAATTGGGCGGGGCTGGGCTGGAGGCCGGAGGCCAGCATTTAAGTCTTTTAGAATCCTTAACTTACCGCCAACGTTACCAAGGGCCGCCGGGGACCGCCAACGGTAGGAAAAAAAAAAAGTGCGGGCCCCCCTAAACGCCTGAACCCTAAATTACTAAACTTTACTAAACCCTAGACCCTAAAACCCTAAACCCTCAACCCTCAACCTTAAACCCTAAACCCTAGACCCTAAAACCCTAAACCCTAAACCCCAAACACTAAACCCTAGACCCTAAAACCCTGAACCCTAAGCTGCTTCCATTTATGCCACGGCAGCTGCTGCCGCTGTTGCTACTCAGCCTACACTCCGAGCCTGAACCCCAATTCCCACATCCTACCGTCTCCATAACCAAGCTCCCAACCCACTCTTAACACCTGTCATACCAGTCAACTCAGTATAGGGGCCGTAATGATTACTGCACGTTCTTCAGCTGATTCTGCACTGCGTCACTATCACCTCCAGCCTCTTAGGCGCCCCGGGTCACGACAGATCCGTCACCAAGAATGGCAGCAAACGCGCCGCTATCACCATCAAAGCCTGGAGCAGCTTCGATCTACTGCACATTCCTCAGCTAGTCTTGAACGGCACTACTGTTACCTCCATGGAGAGCACTACCCCAGGTCACGACCGATTCGTCACCAAGAATGGCAGCAAAAGCACTTGCATTTGCCTGGATCTGCTGCACATTCCTCAGCTGATCCTGCACAGCACTGCTGTCACCACCGCGGCTAGCATCACCCCAGGTCACGACCGATCCATCGCCAAGGATGGCAGCAAAAGCGAGGCCAGTGGCGTGGATCTGCTGCACATTCTTCAGCTGGTCCTGCACAGCACTACTGTCACCACCATAGGCAGCATCACCCCAGGTCACGACCGATTCGTCACCAAGAATGGCAGCAAAAGCACCTTCATTTGCCTGGATCTGCTGCACATTCCTCAGCTGATCCTGCACAGCACTGCTGTCACCACCGCGGCTAGCATCACCCCAGGTCACGACCGATCCATCGCCAAGGACGGCAGCAAAAGCGCCGAAAGAGGCTTGGATCTGCTGCACATTCTTCAACTGGTCCTGCACAGCACTACTGTCACCACCATGGCGAGCACTACCCCAGGTCACGACGGATTCATCGCCAAGAATGGCAGCAAGTGCCACGCCACCACCATCACTGCCCCATGCGGCTTGGACCTGCTGCACATTCTTCAGCTGATCCTGCACAGCCCTACTGTCACCACCGTGTGCAGCATCACCCCAGGTCACGACCGATCCATTGCCGAGGATGGCAGCAAAAGCGAGGCCAGTGCCTTGGATCTGCTGCACATTCTTCAGCTGGTCCTGCACAGCACTACTGTCACCACCATAGGCAGCATAACCCCAGGTCACGACCGATTCGTCACCAAGAATGGCAGCAAAAGCACCTTCATTTGCCTGGATCTGCTGCACATTCTTCAGCTGGTCCTGCACAGCACTACTGTCACCACCAAAGTCAAAGCGAGCATCGCCCCAGGTCACGACCGATCCGTCACCAAGAATGGCAGCAAAAGCGAGGCCATTGGCTTGGATCTGCTGCACATTCTTCAACTGGTCCTGCACAGCACTACTGTCACCACCATGGCAAGCACTACCCCAGGTCACGACCGATCCATCGCCAAGGATGGCAGCAAACGCGCCGCCAGTGGCCTGGATCTGCTGCACATTCTTCAGCTGGTCCTGCACAGCACTACTGTCACCTCCATGGAGAGCACTACCGCAGGTCACCACAGACCCATCGCCAAGAATGGTAGCAAAAGCACCCCCGCCATGGGCGGCTTGCACGCGAACTCTGCCTGTATGTAGTAGAACGAGTACGTCACCATCCTGCATCCGGGCATGCTTGACCGGTGCACCTACATCCAGAACGCCTCCAGATGAGTCCACCAGCCGCCCTTTCCCCGCTTCGAGAGCTGTCTCCGCCCGACGTTTCAACGTTCCCACTTGTTCATTCAAGTCGGCTTTCACAGTAGCTGTCCTGCCACTGAGCAACCCAACTTCCACGGTAATTGACATGTCGCACGGCGGAAAGCAGCGCAAAAGCCGGCTTGGGGGGGTAGGACATCCTATTCTCGAGAGCGATGTGCATGTATGCCACAAGGAGGAGGACAAGACATGCCTGAGTGAATGAGACCTCATGCCACGTTCGAGCCTGTAGAATTTCAAAGAACGCTCCTTCGGGATTTCGTCTGCAGAAGTCTACACTGAGCTCCGGTGGACTCTGGACAGCCCAGAATTGGGGCTTCTGTTTGGGGTTTAGGGTTCAGTAAGGGGTTTAGGGTTTAGGGCTTAATTAGGTCTTAGAAGGTTCAGGGGTTTGGGGTTTGGGGTTTGGGGTTTAGGGGTTTAGGGTTTATCGGATTCCGATCTTAGTTTGCTTTCAATTCCCCTTCTAATCGCTGTACTATAATTCTAATCAGGAAACCCCACCATAGTGTAGGTAATTATTAAGGCCCCTATATTAGACACACGAAGCACTTGCCTTGCCCCGACCTGTGCGCCCACACAAAGTTCTTGGCCCCAATTCCGAAACCCACCTAAACTTTGGCGTGTAGGGTTTCGGGAATTGGGGGTTTGGTGGGCTAAACCCTAAACCCTAATCCCTAAACCCTAAACCCGAAGCCCTCTTTTCGTCACGTGAGCACCCCGAGATCGTAGCACTGCGCTAAGCCGATCAGCTGCCAGGGAGGCCGCTGGGCCCTCCACTCCCAGTCCCGTGCATGAAGGCAGTGGTACCTGTAATCATAGGGTTTAGGGTTTAGGGTTTAGGGTTTAGGGTTTAGGGTTTAGGGTTTAGGGTTTAGGGTTTAGGGTTTAGGGTTTAGGGTTTAGGGAAGGCAGTGGTACCTGTAATCAACGGTTTGGGGCTTAGGGCTTCTAGGGTTTAGGGGCTTTGCGTTCGGGAAAGGGGAGGGCCATCGTGGCTTTCGGGCTTGGGTTTATGCACTCACAGGCCACAGAGCCCATGTCCTGGAGCTTGTTGTTTAGGGTTTAGGGTTTAGGTTTAGGGGATCGAAGCTGCTTTAACCCTCACCGAGCTTGTAATAGAGCCCTGCTAGCGGCGTGATCATGCCTTCTAGAAACCTCCAGAGCCCTTCTTCTGGAACCCGTTTAGAAGCCTTATCGACCCCGTACGAAGTCCTTCTAAAACGTTTATGGAACCCTTACAAAGTCCTTCTAGAAGCCTTCTAGAACGGAACCGCGAACCCTTACAAAACCCTAAAGTCTAAAATTGTCACTGTGCGCTCAACACAATCTCAAACTACTTATTCCAGCACATTCAGTGCAGCAATGCTTTGACATGTTTTCCCAGTGCTGTAAGCACGATTGTAGAAACCGTAAACCCTATCTAAACCCATCTAGAAACCCTGAATGATAAACTCTATTAAAAACCCTACAGAAATCTCTTTAGAATGGACCCTAAACCCTAAACTCTATAGAAATATAAACCCTTATAGAAACCCTGAATGATAAACTCTATTAAAAACCCTACAGAAATCCTTTCAACACACCCTAAACCCCAAAACCTTACACCCTAAACCCTGAACCCTAAACCTTAAACCCTAAACCCTGAACCCTAAACCCCTAAACCCCCAAACCCCTAAACCCTAAACCCTAAAACCCCGAAACCCCCAAACCCCTAAACCCTAAACCCTAAAACCCCCAAACCCCTAAACCCTAAACCCTAAAACCCTAAACCCCCAAACCCTCAACCCTAAACCGCCTGGCTCCGGGTCCGTCGTCGGAGCTTTTGGAAGCGAGTCGCCAACTCTTCAGCACCAGCTCCGAGGGCCGGATCTTCAGGCTCACGTGCTGGGGCCTGAAAGATCTGCTTAGGGTTTAGGGTCCCTATGGCCACCGGTCTGAGAATTTCTTAGGTATTTTATCGGTTTAGGGTTTAGGGGTTTAGGGTCTACCTGGACCTTAAAGAACCTGCCTTTTTAGGGTTCCTTAATATGAATTCCTTATATAAGTCCTGAAAAAGGTAGGTTATTTGGGGTTAAGGTAGGGCTTCGGGTTTAGGGC